AAACAAATACAAAATAGATTTGGCGTCGATGTGTTTGGTTTTTTCGAAAAATTTTTCGGTATCGTTTGTGTATCAAGAATATATATTTATAAAAAAAAAACATGCACACGAAAAAAAAAGTTTTCGATCAAAATCCAATGGTATGGTATAACCGAATAGAATAACCGAATAACCGAGAAAAAAAATATATATGATGATGATGATGATTTTGCGAATGGGCACACTGAAAAAAAAATTTTCACATACATTGGATATCCATTCATTCATTCATGGACAAACTTCTTTTTTATTTTTTTTCTGGTTGTTTGTCTGAATAATATTTATTTCTTGTTTACTCTTTTCATTTGCTCTCTCTGTATATTGTATGGAATTTAAACTTTCAGTGATTCAATGCTTCTTCTTCTTCTTCGTCTTCAAACGCCCTCAAATAGTGAATGAATGAAATGAATAGTTCTCTTTCCAATACAAAAGATTCGAGCAACAACCATTGATATATACCTTGCATTCATGGTAGAAATACAGAAGATATCCAAATAGAAGTGGTTAACATTGAAGTATCTTCTTCTGAATCATAACGAAAAGATCACCAGAAAGAAGAAGCATATATAAATATTTACAACAACAACAACAACAGCAAAAAAAATCCATTTGATTCAACATTGATTAAAACGCCCATCATGATCATCATATAACCTTAATTCTTTGGGATTTCGGATTTTTTTTTAATTCGTTGCTTAGTTAAGGTTATTATGGACGGACGAACGGTTTTTTTCCTTTGAAACACAAAAAATTTTCCTTGTAATTATGTAACGGAACCGAGAAAAAAAAATAATTAATTGAATGTAAGCCCCCTGAACAAAACAGAAAAAAAGTTAATATTCACTGGAAAATATAAATTTGATACATTTTTTTTGCTACATTAACAGAAATAAATAATAAAAGCCTATAGGGAAACGATTGTAGACATAGAGAAAAAATGAATTCATGAGAAAAAAATCAAAGAAAAAATGGATAAAAAAAACAATGTGTCAATATATTTACGACATGGTTTTTTTTGATATACCATCAGACAAATTAGACTCAAACAGAATCATCTAATTTACAGAGATTCTTGGTTAATTCTTGTATTCTCTATTAATAATAACATTGTCATAGTCAATTTTCATTACATTGTGTATAACCAATGATGATGATGAACATGGAAAATATAATTTATGTATTAATTAATCAAATTCCTTCATTAACGCGTTCGCTACCGGAGATTTCGAAAAACACATAGAACTACAGTAAATAAACGACGCATATATGCGTCGCTGGTAGCGAACGCGTTAAGGATTTTCCATGGTTATGGAATCTATTTTTTTCATAGACAAAAAGAAAATTTTATTCATTATTCATTTCTATTTGGTTTGTTAAAACAAACAGTTATTATTTTCCATAATGAATTTCATAATCATCAATTTTTGTTATTCATTTTGTTTAGAAAAACGAAACAAAACAGAAAAAAGTCAGATTTAAAATATTTTTCCAGTTTCTCATCACCATGATCATTAAAAGATCACTATGACGCCATGAGTTTTTTTGGAATCTTTGTTTTTCCAACAAAACAAAAGCTCAAAAAGATGATAAATGAAACTTTAAATCTTAGGGAAAGAAAGACACACGCTGATCTGGTGTTTAACAATCCAAAATCCGTTCATCATCATCATTACTGATTTAATTTTGAAATGTTTCTTAGAAAAAATATTTTTAAAATTAATTTTTTCATAAATAATAAAATACATTGAACATCTTTAAAACAAGACAAATTTTCTTGAATTTCAAGTTCAAACATTTGTCCTTCATATGATATGTTTGGCCTATATCGAAATTCTTGAAATTTCATTTTTTCTGGTTTCGGGTTATCCATTAGTGTGTGTATGTGTATGTGTGTGTTTTAAATCCTATTAGACACATCTGGTACAAAACAGGAAAAAAAATTCTGTTAAAAAAAAATTTTTTTTCCAACTTTTCATCTGTAACAGACAGAGAACAAAATTGATCTGGATGTTTTTTTTTCTTCGAAAAAAAAAATAAAAAATAAAACCCAAATGATGTATGCTGGTATTTTTCTCCAGATCATCGTTTTTTTCATCTTCTTAAAACAAAAAATTTCTTGAATTTTGTTTTGTTTTGTTTTATATAACAAGTTATTCTAACTCAACGCCAAACAAAACAGCAAAAAAAAATGAATGATTTGTGGCCATCATCATTAATACATCGATTTAAAATGTAATTTTTTTTCGATTAGACATTCATGATAAGAAATACAAATGGGAGAATAGAAAACCGGTCATTTTATCTTCGATCGAGAATAAATGGTTAATATATATTTGAATGAAATAACAAATGAACTGATAGAGTTCATTTACCTTTTCGGAAATTCCTATTATCATTACCATTTATTTAGGTAATAAAAAAAAAATGAAGAACAAAAAAAGAACAAATGACTTGGCTGACCAGGCTACAACAAAACAGTTTTTAAAATAGTAAAAACTTATTCAATGAATCATGACCAATATACCGTGAACAAAATAAATATCATTACTGGACAATGGAAAACAGTAACAACAAAATCTGAATGAATGAATGGATATCTGATGTCTGACAATAATAAAAAAAAACTATTTTGTTTTTGTCGACGACCTTGTTTGGTTTTTCTTTTTGTTCAATAAATTCAAAGACAAGATCAAGAATGTTGAAGTAATTTTTGAAGTTGATAACAACCGGAATAAACAACAAGAAGAAATTCAACACAATTTTCCAAAAATTAATGAATTAATCTTGAATTTTCTTTATCATCTTCAATATTCTGTACATCACAAGTATAATACAAACGAAAAAAATCTTGAATTTTCATAAATAAATAATTGAATTGAATGAAAACAAAACTTTGACTACATATTAGTTTGTGAAAGAAAAAAAAAATATATAACTGATTCTCAAGGGTCTCTATAAGGTTTTTGTTCCTATTTCGTTCATTTCTTATTTAACAACAACAACAGACATAGTGTAGCTTATCATCATCATTTTTCTTTTCTTTTTTCTAGTTCAAGTTTGGCATAGTGTTTGAAACTTTAGATATATATCCCTTGGAGAGATACCAATCACACACACACACACACACACAAACAACAAGATTCAATTCAAGCTAATAAAGCATCCTTTACTTATTTTTTTTTCTCTTATCAAATATTAAAAGAAAAAAAATTCTTTCAAAAGAAAGAAAACCAAAACAAACATCATCGAAAGACGAGATAAGAAACCGAAAACATTGTTGAATTTTTCAATTATAACAATCTACTTTTTTCAAACTGAAAAAAATTTTCAAGATTCGTTTCAAATAATTGATTTATATATGAAACAACATGACTTGGTGGAAAATAATTTTTCTTCTTTCATTCAATTTTAATTTCAAGGATTTGTTGTTTGACATTCATGAGAAAAAAAGAAAAATTTTGTTTGGCCACCAATATATATAGCCAAAATCAAACAAGACATGTGTGATGGCGAAATGTATTTTTTTTCTGTTGAAATTTGAATTTGAATTTAAATTCTTTTTTCTTCATTTTCATTATCGTTGATTTTTAGCTAGTAAAAAAAACAGTTAAACACACTCGCAGAGACATGCAATTCTTTTCTGGAGAAAAAAAAATCAAAATTTATTCTTTGGAATTTAGAAAATTTTCTTTCGCTTTCTTAACAACAAAAAACAAGAAAGAAAGAAAGAATAAAGAGCTTGTCATGATTCGTGTTGGTTGATGAATTGAAATGAATGAATGAAAAAAAAAGATTTTCTTGATAGATTCAAGTTTTTTTTTATTCTTTCTCTTGAATAACAGAAACGCTATATCCAGAAACAGGAAGGAAAATATATGGTTAGCCAACCCATTTGAAATGAATACAAAACAACGAAAAGTAAAAAACGAAACAATGAACATTTTCTAAAACTTCTTAATGGCTAAACATGTTTCCAATTTTATATGAATACAATTCCAAATTGCAAACAAGAGCAACAACAACAACAACAACAAAAATAACATCTTTTACTTGATGAAAGAAATTTGATCCATACAACCATACAACAAGAAAAATAATCCAAGTTTGAAAATGGGTTTTTTTGCTTACATACGAAAATAAGGAAAGGAACAATACAATACTTTTTTTTATTGTCATCAAATATAATGTGAAGAAACAAAAAAGAGTTTGAAATTGAAAATGATATATATACAAAATTGTTTTTTGATTTGATGATAAGCATAGTAGCAAATAGTTTTCGAAAGGGTAGTTGAAATTCAAACAAATCATCATTGCAATGATAAATGAAATGGATTGATTTCGGGCAAAATTACCAGAAAGAAAAGAAGAAAAAACGATTTAGAATTGCTCTCCATAGAATGATATATGTGGTGCTATTCTGGGAAAAAGAGAGAGAGAGAAAGTTTTACAGTTGAATGAATAAATTCTGTACACTTCATTGAATTGAAATCCAAAATGAAATAATCATTATCGTGATTTTGGAATTCTAATCGAAACGAATTGGATACACGCCTTGTTCATTTTTTTTGATTCACATTTTATTGATAATTAAATGGGCGTTCGTATTTGGCCAATAATCAATAGTTTTCAATACGTAATCGGATCAAAGTTAATCATTGATAATGAACCAAGAGTTTGTCATCATCAATAACTAATGATCAAGAATAGACATTTGTAATTTTGGCGTGCTTGTATAAAGCGCGACATCTAGGAATTATAAATAAAATTACTTTATAAAGAAAAAAAATTTAATTTTTAAAAAATTTGTTCATTAACACACCACGTTTATTGTGGAAAAAAAATTACAACTTTATATAGGTGTTTATGGTGGTGTCATTCGATTTATGTGTTTTGTTTACAAAACAAAAACAAAAATATTTAAATTGAAAAAATCATTGGTCATATCACACAAGATTGTAAAGTATTTTCCAAAACAAAAATCATGGAATACATTTCACTTCTTGGGATTCAGGATAAGTATAACTACTACATCAGAATATATTTATAATCGAGGTAATAATCCGGGTAATTTATGTGCTGGTGACATAAAACAAGCAAACAGATAAAACATTCCAAAATAAAAATTCAAACGTGCCATCTGTCTGGGTATTGATTTCAATTGTTTATAACGAAAACGACGTTCAAGTTCGAATGCTTTTGGTAATGTAATTAATGGTAATAGAAACCATAATGAATAATTCAATGCACCGACAACAAACAATATGTATGGTATGAATAAAAGTAAAGCAAATAGTACATGTGATAAACGATAACCGATTAACATGGCTATCGTTACACAACCGGCACGACGATCAACATCAATATCTCTGGTATTATTTGAATGTAATATCGCTTCCGTATTCAATGCCAATGGTATTGCATATAATAATGTTACTAGACGAATTGTTCCTATTTTTTTCAGAAGAAAAATTTACATTAAAATTAATGTTATTTTTTTAGATTTCCAAAAAAACTACCTGTTTGAGCTATGAATGAATATAAAACAGAAACTGGACCGAATGTAATCATAATTATAATATCTCCCAATGCAATATATTTAAGACCGATACCGCCCGTATAAAGGAATGAGCTTGATAAGCCACCAAAATAAATGAATGCAAGTAATTCCATTCGTGCAGGTGATTGTATAGCAACGACCAAAAATCCGATACAACCAATAAAATAAAAAAGTACACCTAAATCATAATAAAATATTAGAATCAGTTTTATTTTTTTGGGTTTCAATTTTATAATTTTCTTACCAAGATTAACAACTTCTTCGGGTGTTAATATTGAATCAACAAGTGTACGATCATCTGATTGACGTTTCGAATCTATACCACGAACAAAATCGCAATAAGTATTAACAAGATTACCGGCTGCATGTACAGATAATACAGTCAATAATGTGGCCAATAGTATGATCCAAGAAAATTGTCCACCACTTGTTTTCGATGCCAATATTGTGCCCATTAATACAGGTATTAATGATGTAAAAAATGTACCGGGTCGTAATGATGATAGATATTGTTTGGCACGTGATAATATTGTTGTACTTGATAAAAAAATCAATGAAATTTGTTTGGATATTCTCCATGATGATGATGATGTTGATGAAAATAATGTTGTTGATAATAATGATAAAGGTGATGATGATTTATTACACGATGTTGTTGGTGATGCTAATGTTGAAGTTTCTTGATGTAAATTATTACTAATACTACTAATATGACTATTATTATGGCTAAATTTATTATTACTATCTTCATTGATAATATTTTCATCATTGACAACCAAATCATTTGATTTCGATAATTGCGATGAAGAAACATTAATTACATCATTCGATGATAAATTATTAGCTGCTGATGTTTCATTAACATCACCGTGATTTGTTTTGTGATTAAGAAATTGAACAGTTGGAATACCAACAATCGTATCATCCAAATTATTCGTCATCGTCGCCGTTGATGATGAAGATGAAGATGATGATGAAGGTGTCTGTTGTGAGACTGGATTTTTAATCTTATGTCTGGCCATTGAAGTATAAAAAAATTTTTTTGTAGAAATTACCTTGATGATTGATTGAATGAAAACATAACATATTAATTCAAGATGTTTTAAAAAAATTTATTTTCTAAACCTGATTAAGAAGTTTTCAAAAAGTTGATCACAAATGATGATTAATATTCGGCGGCGAAAGGAAAGCAACAAAAAGAAAAACGGGTTAGATTGACGCGTCACATGAATGACAACTAATTAAGGACAACAACATTTCGGGTCATTGCTGACCATCAGTATTTAGTCATAATTGGGCGAGAAAAAAAAAGTGACCAATCAAGTGAATTTATGAACAAATACAGTAGTTTTTTAATTAGTTGCTGTTGATGTAATCATCTTCTTGTTAGTTGATCGAATAAAATTGTTTTGTTGTTTTCTCGGTAATGATCTTTATAAAACAAATCAAATGATAATAAATTTCTTAAAACGAAACCGAAATAAGAAATTTTATTCAATCGAAAAAGATACCCGAAAAAAATGAGGCCAAACGAATATTTTTATTGTTGCGTGTCGCAATTTGTTCGGTTATTGTGTGATATTTTATTGTCCAACCATATACTATGTTACCAAGAACACATGTTTATTTCAATTTTTTTTTGAATCAAATCGTGATTGAAGAAAAGAAAAATGAATAATTTAATTCGATCGAAAATCTGGCCAATATCAAATAAATTCTATGATGCAAGAATAATTTGTAATAATCTAATATGTCAACCTCAACGATTTGAATCAACAACATATTCTAAATACGATGCATGGACCTATCAACATGATCAAGAAGTACATAAAGATAGGCTATATCCAAAACCAAAACGTTGGCCAAAATATAATGAAATTATACATCCACCTGAACAAGGTCCTGTTGAAAAGGTAAGCAACGGTTTTTTTATCGAAAAAAAATAAAAATCATTAAAGAAATGTTTTAAAATGCATAGTATTATTGTCATCATCGTGAAAATATAAAATATTCACCGAAAAAAATGTTTTTCGTAGCCAGTTTTGTAAGTATTATATTTAACAGTTAGTTTTACTAATTGTTAATATGCAATCTTTTCTTTTAAAAAATTAGATTCGTGGCATGTCAATCGATGAAGCAATCAAACAACTTTCATATGTTAAACTTAAAGGTGGTGCTATTGTAAAGGAAATCTTACAAGAAGCTCAAGAAATTGCTGTTAAAGACCATAATTTTGAATTCAAATCAAATATGTGGGTTGCGGAAAGTTTTTGCACGAAAGGAATTGTTTACAAAGGTTTTCGTAAACATGCACGAATGCGTTTCGGTGAAATACGATATTTTCATTGTCATTATTTTGTTAAATTGGTCGAAGGCGATGCACCAGAACATTATTATCCATCACAAGGACCATATCCAGAAAAAATGACAATCGAAGAAAAACTTGAACAACATATTGAAAAATTACGTCAAAGGCGAATTGATTTTGCTTTGTAATTGTTATATGTAAATAAATAAATAAATAGTTTTTTTAATTGTTTGAGTAATTTCTTTATTCATTAAATTTTATTCTAAAATTGATCGAAGATGTTTTTTATTCAACTGATGTAATTCATAAAGATGATCCATTACATGAATCAAATGTTCGGATAATGTTTGCATATTATGTAAATTAATTTGATCGGCCATTTTTGCCAATGTTTTGTTTTCGGATAAAATTTCTTCATTTTGTACCTGATAATGATGAAGTTTTCTAAAAATAAATTAATTTAATAAGAAAATTGGCAAAAAAAAAGTATTGATTGTCACTTACTTTGATATCCAATCATGTTCCAAATGTAATTCATCAATTAAACTTTGAATTTGTTTGATTATTTGTTGAGGTGTTTGCTGTTGTTGATGATTATGATGATGATGATGCGATGATTTTTGATGTTGATTATGTAATTCAGTAATTTTATTACATAATGGACTATGATGTTTAAAACGAGCCAATTGATTTTGTTTTGTTACAAATTTTGAATGACTTTGATGATTTAAAGTAGATTGATCATTTCCATCAAGAACCAAATCAATATCTGGTTTGGTTAGACGATAATGAATCATTGTTGTTGGTAATTTTGTCATCTGATGATTTGTTGTTGATGATGATGATTGCAAACGATTAAATTTATTACGAAAACGTTCATCACTTTCCAAACAAAGTTTACTATATTCGGATGATGGATTAGATGAAGTATTGCTTGATTGATTAGTTTGTTGTTGTTCCGTATGATGATGATGGTGATGATTCAATTTTTCATTTGATTGATGATTTTTAATTAAATTTTTCGTAAATTTATCATCATCATCAGCCATCGACAATGTTGTCGCAAGTGCTGATGATTTAGGAATCTGATTATCAATTTCTACTTTAACAGGTGTTTCAATTTTAACATCTTTATTTTTATTAATGGTTAACATTTCTAATTGTTTAACAAGAAGTAATAAAATTTTATGTAAATCTTCTTCAATATCAAATAATGAACGTTCCAATGAATGATTATGATGATGTGTACAACGATTTTTTGTATAACGATTATTATTATGATGACGTTCATTAAACATTTTCAATAATTCTTTTTCAATCTGATCATAACGAGAATGTGTTAGTAGTAGACGAAAATCTAGTTGATTAGTTTCTTGATTATTATTGTGATTGAATGATATCGAATCTTCTTGATCATCATCATCATCCATATCCATATCTATGAATTATTGTTTGAAAATGATTCATTTATCAAAACAGAGGTTATTGTTAAATGAAACAAACGCAGAATTACAAAAAACAGTGTGTAACTATGGAAACCATACAATATTCCAATTGGCGCATTCAATTATGTTCAATTCAATGTTCAATATTTGTTTTGTTCAAAAAAAACTTGTTAAATCTATAATTGATAGGTTCGAATATTGAATTCCTGTTCCCAGGCACTCATACCCGGTATAAATGTATCCAATTGATCGGAACGTAAACTTTGTCGTTGACGAAAACTTTCCCGTATACGACGACCACGTTTTTGACGATTTTGTTGTGGATTACATTTAAATATTAATACACCTAATGCAATTGAACGATAGAAAACAATCTGAAAAATTAACATTCGAAGGCAATGATAAAAATATTGTCCTTGTTCATCACGTGGTAGCATCATTTTATATAATACTACAGATACTTCATTCGAATTACAACGACCAAAACCATATTGTAATTGAAATAATGCTTCATTGATAAAACGTAATACGGAAAATTGTGCAACAAATTGATAACCATAATGCATCTCTTCAATTGGATTGAAAGTATTTGATAGAACAAACCATGTAAAAAAATTTGAAAATGCCACCACAATTAATACGATAAAATTCGATCCAATTAACAATGCAAACAAATGACTTTGACCTTGTACAACTAATGCACCTAAAAATGTTAATATAACCATCCACCAATACATTCCCGGTTGAATTGGTTCAAAAACATCGACAATATAATTGTATACAAGTATTACAGGTATTATGGATAATAATTCAAAACCAGCTTTAACCAAATAAAACGACATTGTTGAATACCATCCTATTGATGATAATTTAAAATGAAAAAAAAAATTCAAAATAAAACTAACGAGACAAACTTACCATTTCGATGTTCATTAAAAAAATAAACAAATTCTTTAGTCAATGCAAATGAAGATTGTACCAAAAATATTAATAGAAAAAATGAATTCATTAGAATTGTATAGCATGTATTGTTAACTAAATCAATTTGTTCATGTAAACGAGCTGGTGATAGATGATTAAAATCTTCATCAAAACTAACACAACCACTTGTATGAACGGATTTTGGATTGAAAACAAATCGTAATAAATATCCATGATAAATGTAAAGAACAATATAGGAAACTGTTTCTAACCAAAGATAATTTTTCTGATACATTAGATTACGAAAAAATAGAAACCAAAATGATGTTAATGAAAATCTTGGACGATTTAGCTCTATACCATCATCAACGGCAACAATATCTTCTTCAAATTCTTCATATCTAATTTCTTCATTTAAAATTCTTTGATCAGATAATTGACAGAGTGATTGTACAATTGGATCTTCATTTGAAAGACATGAATATTTCATTAATTCTTCGGTTACCACTGTACAACTACATGAATCAGGAAGATTAATTTCCGGAATACGGCGAAGATTTTCGGCAATTTTTCCAGCTGTACCTGAATAAATACAAACACCACCACGTGCAAGACAATAAATTTGATCAAACATTTTTAAAATTTCTGTATTTGGTTGATGAATACTGACTACTAATGTAATCAAATGACGTCGAACCAATTTCTGGAGGCAACGAATTTCAATGGCAGCTGAATTTGAATCCAATCCACTGGTAGGTTCATCAATACAGATCAAATTTGGCATACGTAATGATGTTAATTCTAATGCTAATGCTAATCGTTTTCGTTCACCATCCGAACAATATTCAACAAAAGTTGATGCTGTATGATTAATATCTAATTCATCCAAAAGATTTGTTGCAATTTCTTCATAATCAATTTTTCCATACGATTGTCCATATAAACGTTCGGCAATATTTTTCAATTTGGCTGCATAAATTAAACTTTGTTTGGCTGTTAAACCGGGTAATAAATGTCCAGAAATTTCTTGTGAAATATAACAGATTCTTGTTGGTGTATATTTGCTAATATAAATTTGTGATTCAGCACTTAGATAGGTTTTCCAACGTCCATTTAAAACTTTCAATAAAGAAGTTTTTCCCGATCCTGATGTTCCCATTACTGCATTCAATGTTCCAAAACGAAATTGACCATTTAGATTACGGAGAATTAATTTTGGATTTGACATTTTCATCAGCGATGGTGATTCACGTATCATTCGTTCACCAAACAATGATAATGAACGCCATGATAAATGTATTTTATCACGACAAAAATTTTCAAATTTAGTTTCAGCATCCGGTTTGATTCGTGTAGTAAAACGAACTTTAATTGAACGTTTTCGTTTTCGTTCACCATTCAATGATTTAGATGTTTGTTGTTGATCAACAGCCAATAAATTATCATTATTTTCCAAACGACGATACATACGTGTAGCTTTACCCTTATAACTGAAACGTAACCACATACAAATCATTGTCATTAAACGAAGTAAAAACATATTACGAAAAACTGGTTTTAAATTTTCGAAAATTTTTTCAACATTAACCGAATATTTATGCAGCATAACTGAATATTCAGTCATTGGATTATCACATCGATCAAGACCATAGAAAGCATACAATACACCATTGTTTATATATCTTGAGGCAAGAAAATTTGATATTTTGATTGCCAATGGATTTCCCAATCGTTCCAAAATGATAAAATGTCCATTGAAAACAAACAATATGGTAATGAATACTTGTACTAAAACCATAAAAATCTGTATACGATCACCGGCTAAAATTAGTAGAAAATGACCAAATGATTGCATATAAAGAAATTCAATCCAATAAAAGAATAGAAAATAACCAAATCTTGTCCAATTGAATTGATTTTGATCAAGATTTATAAAATCCATTGTAAAATAAATCAATGAAGTACTAGTTAAAACATAAAGAATACTTTCGATCAATTGAATTAATGTTAATGACCAGAAAAATGTTCCAACCGAATACCAACGATTACGATGTTCATTACGAAAAACTTGTAAGATTGGTATGAATAAAAAACAAGCAAGACCCATTGCTATTGATGATATGAATAATGTTGTCATTGATTGATGCATTATAAATGAATCATGATGTGCACTATTACGAAGATTATCATGACAATTTTCTAAATCAGTTAAATTTTCACCATTCGATTCGTTATCATCATCTTCGGTTATGAAATTTGCAATGATAATCTTTGAGATATTTGTTGAATTCAAAACAGGTAATTCACAACAAGCTTGTGAACGAACAATTTCTTCACCATTAAAAACAGTAGAAATGAAAACAAATAAATAGGTAAATGTCATCAAAACTGCCAACACTGATTTATAATTGATTATAAACATTATATGAAATAAACGAATAAATTCAATGGCAAAATCTTTGAATAGAAAACGTTTGAAATGTTGTGGAACACCATAAGGAAGAAAATCTAATTGATCCAAATATGGTAATAATCGATCATTTTCCAATTTTAAAACATCATTAGATAATGTTTGTACTTTTTGATTATCGATTCCTATAAATAAAGAGAAAACTTTCATGAATTTTTTGTCTTCAAAGATTCACAGTAAACTTACCCATACATGCAATTTTAAGATATTCTTCGATCGGTGGTTTTTCCAATTCATCTTCTTGATGATCATCACAACTTGAATCCATACCAAAACGTTCTTTAAGAATTGGTCGCAACATATCTGGTGGTCCAGTATATATACAAACACCACCTTTAGCCAGAACATAAAGTTTATCGAAAAGATGTAAAATATCGCTATTCGGTGTATGTATTGAAATAGTAACCGACATACGATGATTATCAGCTAAACGTCGTAAACATTTCATAACGACTAGTGCTGAATTAGAATCCAAACCGGTAGTTGGTTCATCGACAAACAAAAATGATGGTTGATGTCTTAGTGACATTAATTCTTGTGCTATTGCAATACGTTTTTGTTCACCACCTGAACAACGATCAAAACGACGTGTTAAAATTTTTGGATCAAGCATTAATTCATCAATGATTGATCGAATATGTTCATTCCTTTGTTGTTTGGAAAAACAATGATTTTTAAATAAAAATGCATAACATAATGCTTCACCAATATTTAATTGTCCATAAATCATTTCATGTACGGCACGATCAATCAAACCGATAACTGGTCGACGTTTTTCTAATGGATTCAAATAAATTTCCGTTTCGGATGATAATCCCGAACGAACAGCCATATTACCGGTCAAACATCGAATCAATGTTGTTTTACCACATCCACTAGGTCCCATAAATCCGGTTAAATGATGATATTCCAGAGATCCGGTTAAACGACGTAAAATTGAAACCTTTTCACGACGATAATGAAGCCAACGTGATGCTTCATAACGAAGATTAAGCCATGCTAATGAAATTTTTAATTCTTTCGATTGTTGTTGTTGTTGTTTTTGTTGCGACATGTTTGAAAATGAAAATTAAAAAGATTTTTGGCTTGGAAGATTTGTTTTTTAAATTTAAACAAAATCAAGCGTCGACCGTGACAGGAAATCAATAATGAATAAAATTCAAATGACCTCTAAGGTCGAACGACAATATTTTTTTTTTGTTGTTCGAAGTGGTCAGAGGATGAAAATTTCTAGAAAATTCACGGTTTGTTTTTTGTATAAATCACAATTTTATTATGGTAGTTTAAATGAGAAAATTTTGTTTTTTTTAATAATTTTTCTATATATTTTACAGACGAAATTCTAATTGATCATCATCATCATCATCATTATTCTGACTGTCAAGACTAGAAGGAGATGAGGATGATGAATGTTTTGTAGCGAGATCGCTAAATGTACTTCCCGTTGAAGTTGATGGCGATGGCTCTTGTTGTTCGTGATGATTTGAATGTTCAATTGTTGTTGTTGTTGTCGTTGTCGCTGACCATTCATGATGATCCAGATAGGATGATGATTGCGATTGAATGGTAGTGGATGAAGATTTTCCAGTCATCCATAATCGATGATGATGAAATATACGATCACCATTTGCACGAAGCAACAATGCAAACAAAGAGCCTAATCGAAATAATATAGTCTGGCAGATTAATATACGAAGATAATGATAAAAATATAAATCAGGATTCAAATCATCGGAACCAATTCTGTATAGAACCAATGATATTGGTTGTTGTTGTTGACGGATATAGGCTGATCGTGATAATGGTGATGAACATGAATTAAAATAACCATAATGTAATATAAGTATGGCTTCATTTAGATAACGAAATACATTCAAAAATGATAGTGAAAATTTTGTTTGAATTTGAAAATTTGATGTTATCGAAAGTAGAGCAAATAATGAAAGAAGAATGAGAAAAATTGATTCCGAACGTATTCGATTTGTCGATATAATCACAACTAAATGGCTTAGGCTATGAATTGATTCAATTGCAATTGATATGAGTATTACTGCCCACCAATAATATGTATGTGGTAATTGACGATCATTATCGATAATTTCATCCGGTTCATAATAAGGATAATCAAAATGATCAATATCGATTAAATAAAGATAAATCATTGTTATCGGTATGATTGGTAGAAAATCAATCCATATAAAATGACAAATATAGAAAACACTTGAACTAAACCAGCCTATTGGATAGAATAAAATTAGTAAAAAAAAATATTCAGATAGAAAATATAGTCTTACCATTTTGATGTTCATGTAAAAAAATTTTAATTTCTTGATAGAAAATCATTGCCGATTGAAATAAAATTAACATTAAAAATAAATGTGTTGAAATATAAACATAACGATAATTATCCCAAAGATGTTCACCATCTATATCCCATATCATTTTTGTACCGGTACGATATTGTGGACAAACGGCTGTTGCATTAAAAATATCTTTTCGTATACAACCATCAGGTTTGGTAATTTCCGAACCAAATAATCCATTCAATAAAAGTGCAATAATAAAATAAATGGATGCATAAATAATCCAATGAAACCAAAGTGAATAAAACCAACGTCCACGATAACGACGACTTAATCGTAGAATAGACATTATTGAAAATGATGCTACATTCGATTTAATTCCTTTATGTTCAAGTGATATTGTTTCTTGTGGTAAAAGTTCATTAGCTTTTAATGTTTGTTGATCATTTTGTTTGACTAATTGTTCGATAGCTGATGATATTGTACAATCATCACTATCTAAACATGAATATCGAAGTAATTCTTCAATAGCACGTTTAGATGATGATAATAATGATGTTTCGGTTATTTGATGAATTGATTGATTCAAATGTTGACGTATTGATTGTGGTTTTGATGAACCCGAATAAATACAATGACCATTTGAACTTAGACAATAAATTTGATCGAATTGTGCAAGAATTTGATGCTGTGTATGTTGAAATGATACAACAAATGTAATCGAATGACGATCGGTTAATTGTCGAAGACAACGAATAAATTGTTCAGCATTTATTGCATCTAAATCAAATATTGGTTCTTCGATACAGATTAAATTTGGCATCTGCAGTGATGTTAATTCTAATGCTAATACTAAACGTTTACGTTCGGATTGATTACAATCATCAACATATGATCCGGATTGATGTCCTAAATCTAATTCATCAAGAATATTTAAAGCCATTTCCTCATGATCAAGTCGACTAGCACTATAATCATCATCTTCAATATTTTTAATTATCGATGCATAAATTAATGATTGTTTAACAGTCAAACCCGAAATCAGATGTTCTTTTGGATATCGACTGATGAAACAGACGTTATTTGATGCAAATTGACTTTCATAGAATTGAGTATCGGATGTTAATCGAGTTTTTAATTGACCATTAAAAATTCTTAGTAAAAGTGTACGAATATTACCATTATGACAGCCAATATTATCATTACTACCACCGATCACTGCATTCAAACTACCCAAACGAAATTGTCCATTTAAATTTTTCAGAATCAAATTCGATTCCGAATCACATTTATGATCGGTAGTTTTTTTACAACAAGCAAACAATGATAATGAACGCCATGCTAATTGAATTTTATCACGACAAAATTCAACTTCTTCATCATCTTTAAATATTGGCTGTATGATACGTACTTTGGCTTTTTTTCGATTAGTTGGTCCATAATCGATTGGAATTATTTGCGATTGATAATGATGATTCGATGATGTTGTTGTTGTTGTAGATGATGGATGTTTTTTGTTGTTTTTGTTGTTGTTGTTTGTTGAACATCGAATAATTAATTTTGGACAAAAATAATACCAAAGCAATAGAAATGATATTATACGAATCACAATTATAATGATCACTATTGAAATTAGATTATTAATAATTTCATTAAATTCTAATGGTATTGAATATTGTTTAAATACTGATGATGAATATCGATTATTATTTGATCGATGATAATCATTTTGTTGATAATGACTATGATGATGATGATGATAATCACAGCTACGTTCTAAACTATAAAATGAATATAAAACAGTATCATAAATTGGTTGTAATGATATTATTGTTGATGCAATTGAACGAATTGTTAATGAATGTATACGATCAATAATGACTAGAATATTATTGTTTAATAATTGAAATATAATTACAATCAATTGACCGATTGTAATCATAATCACAATGGAATAATTATTATTATTTTTGTTACTGCTGTTGAAGTTTTTCTTATTCAATGGATATATTAAAACACTTAATAATATTCCATATGCTTGATGATAAAGATATAATAACCAATATGCAAATAATACATGATTAAAACGTTGTATATTTACATTTGATAATGATGATAATAACCATTTATTATTTGATGATGATTCTATTGTTGTTTGATGATTATAATAATGATGATTTTCAATCATTGTATGATCAATAAGAAAATACATTAAACAGGTAAAAATTGTTGACCAAATTATTGATTCAATTAGATTGATGAAAAATGATGATAATATAAAAACATTGAATGAAAAACGACCTAACAAAAAAAACAAAAAATGGATTATCGTTGTTAAATAATATTGAAAGATAAAATACATACGATTTTGATAATCATTACAAAATAGATTTAACATTTTTAAACAATGTAATGATGTTGTTAAAATTGACCATGAAGCTAAAAACCACATTGAATACATTTGATATGTAACATAACCATCGATCATTATTTGTTCATTAATAATTTGTTCACATGTTTGATTTGATGGTACAATTAAACGTTCACTAATTGAATCATAACAACGATTTGCAATAATCATTTCATTATCGATAAGAAAAAATGCCAAAAATAGATAATATAAAATCGATATCAATAATTTTAATGGAAACCAACGATTTAAATATAAAAGACGAAATTGTCGATATGATTGAATAAATAGATCGATAATTGAAAAACATTTACAGGGAATATCGATAATTTTTGGCTGAAATTGTAATTTTTGCATATATGGTAACAGGAAATGATGTTCTTCCAACAATGTTTTATCGGCTAATTTTCTTACTTTTGGATTAGTAAATTCAAAACAAGAAATTTTTAACATTTCTTCAATTGCTATACATTCATCATCATTGTTATTATCATCTACATTATCATTATTGTGTGATGAATTGATAATACCAAGATTTTTTTCCAATGTTGATACTAATAATTTAGGTGAACCAGAATAAATACAAACACCACCATGTGCTAATATATAAAGTTTATCAAACAATGTAATTAAATATGAATCGAATATTTTTGCCGATATAATCATTGTAATGGAATATTTTTTCGATATATTTTTTATTGATAATAATATTTTTTCAGCTGAAATAATATCTAAATTTTCGAATGGTTCATCTAGAAACATAAATGTAGGCATCGAATCAATGGACATCATTTCTTGTGCAATTGAAATAAGTCGTTTTTCTTTATATGAACATTCATTTAGTTTTTTATTAATTACTTTATCTTTTTCAATTGATAATTGTTCAAATATTGTATTAATATGTTTTTGATATGAACGAAATAATGATAAAATTCCATTATGAAATATATAAGAATATCGTAATAATTCATTAACAGTCATATGATTGAATGTAATTAAATTATCAACATTACGTATAATCCATGCAAAATGATTAAATTGTTTTTTTGATTTAATATCATTCGTTTCATAACGATAAATTCTAGAATCAGATGATATTCCTGATGAATATCTTATCGAACCGGTTAAACATTTAAGTAAAGTTTTTCGTGCATGATTTGATGGTCCAAGTAAACCATTTACTGTATGAAATTCAAAATAACCAGTTAATCGCCGTAAAATTGGTGATGATTGATCATTTGATATTTTTTCATTGATTTGATTTGAATTTGTTGTTGATGTTTGAATAATGGTGGTTGTTGGTGTTGAAATTGATCCACGACGTTGATGAAATAATAGAAAATTTTTTAAATCAAATTTTTTATTAAATTTTTTTCGATAATTATTATTATCATTATGATTATAATCTTGTTGTTGTTGCTGTTGTCCATTATCAACATTATCATCAAAATCATAACGAAGATTATGCCATGCTAATGATATATTTTTCATCATTTTTTCACCATCATTATCATTATCATTATTGAATTTGGTCATTTTCAATACATTCACGGATGATTCCTCATCATCCGAACCATTGTTGTTGTTGTTATTCAAATTAATCATCATTATTATTATCACTTTTATCTTCAAAAGAATAAAATTGTTTGACATTTACAGAACAGAATAAACATTCAATTGGCTATTCAGAAAAATTTTAAAGAAAAAACGATTAAAATCAAAGATCAAAATCAATGTTGTTGTTGTTGTTGACGGTTGATGTTTTTGATTTATAAAAAAACAAAATTTACCCTTCATTATTTTTCAATGATTTATTTTCTTCTACAACATCGACAGAATGATATCAACAACGACAAAATGATTTCAAATTCATTTTTTTTTCTTTGGGAGAGATATTCAAAGAAACAGATACTGAAAGAAAGAAAAAACACTGGATTAATAAATGACGATCAAATTGATCTGATGATGACGTTTTCTAATCAACATTTTTTTTTCTTCTTCTACTCTCATCACAATCAATGTATCAATCTCTATCTCTCGCATTCTCACTTGAATTCAGAAGAAAAGTTTAATTTGGACATGATTTTTTGATTTTTTTCCAAAAACAAAACAAAAAAAACTGAAATTATCTTAATTAAAACTGAATGAATGATTTTTTTTTCTTTTCTTTACTACTTCTTCATTATCATCATTATCATGGATCATGTTCTCTCCATCCTGTTGAACAGAGAGAGAGAAAGTGATGGCCATGATATCATTGATGATGATGATCAATTACATCGAACACACACACACACGCATCAACTACTACCGTTTTTTGTTTTGTTCATCGTGTGTGTTCAAGATATTTTCCCTTTTTTTCTATATTTATGTTGTTCACATTAAGGTAAATTATCGAATAAACTTTTTTTTCGTTTGTTATTAGCTCAATTTGGAAATTTAAAAATTTCTGTCTTTTTTTTCCTTTTTGAAATTGATTCGAACAATTCAAAAAACAAAACAAACAAACAAAAAGGTGATGTGAATAAAATTGATTATCATCGACGACGATTGTGGTTGAAATGTAAACAACAACAACAAAAAAGAGAAAAAAGGAAAGAGAGAGGAAAAGAGAGAAACTTTGTGACGAGAAAAGATTGAATAACCAAACAACCAAAACAAACCAAAATAGAAATTCTTTTTCCATTCAAAATGTAATGATTGAATGGTAACCACCAAGTTTTAGCGAATCTCAATAAAGTGTAAGTGTTTTTTTGGTTTTGGTTTTTGCTGTTTGTTGTTGTTAGTGTTTCAGATGAACAACAACTATCATCGAAAAGAAAAAACTGTACAAAACATCAGAAGAAAATCAACACGTGTTTGAAGGTTAAATATTTTTTCGTTCATCAATGATGATCCTTACTTCGTTCGTTCGTTCGTTCTTATTGGATAAAAAAACGAAAAAGATAATTCTGTCTTTCAAATGAAAAATTCAATGATGAGAATTTTTGATAATAATAATTTATCCAATTATAAATTCTATAAATTATTAATTTTTCTCCATTCCCCAACCTTTACCTTCAAATATGGATTTTTAATTAATTAATCGATGTTTTTTTTGACAAAAATGTACACTGGCGATGTACTAAATGAAAATATGGATATCATTCAGCTATTTAATGATGATGTGACAACATTCAATGTCGGATAAATAAAATGTTGACAGATAGATAGAAAGAAAGAAGAAAAAAAAATGTCAAGATTGTTTTTTTTGATAAACAATTTTTTCTTGAAAAGACACATTTCAAATGAAAAAAAAAAATTTCATTCTCAAGAATCCCAGCAATAAATAGAGAGAGAGAAAAAACTTGTTTTTCTTTGAGAAAAGAAAAGCAAAGTAAATAAAATGCAAAAAAAAACTTCTTATTGATCACTTATCGAACAAGAAAAAATGTTTACTTTTGAAATGAATCTTGCTTCATCATCAAAGAAAGTAAAAAAAATGGAAAATTTCGTTCCAAGATCAAGTTTTAGTAGTCGTCGTCGTTATCATCATCATCAATTATAGATGATGATGTTTCAAGGAGCTCTAGTTCACTTTCTAGTTTTTTAATTAATTAATCTAACTTTACCTGATTTTTGAATCAATTTTTCTCTTCTCTCCTAGAATCGGAACTAATCAAATAAACAAAAAATTCAAAAATGACGTTACATCAAATTCAACAACAAATTCTCTTCGAAATGGACAAAAAAATCAAACGAATTTTCATTTTCATTTTCAATTGACGTTGACAATTCATACATTGATTTTACATCGTTAATCAAAATCGATTGGATCAAATCAAACTTCATCATTTTTTTTCACCAATCAATCGATGGTTGGATTTACTTATTTAATAATCAAAATGAAAAAAAACTAATCAAATTCAGTAATCACTTTCAAAAGGTATGACGTATTTACGTAGTTTTCTTCTTCTTCTTCTTAGTTTTTCTGCTGTAATGTTTCGTTCAAGACGACAATGTTGTTTAACACACAAAATACATGATTAGATGGTGGTAAATGATGGTAACCTCGAGGCAAATGAATCGAACGAAAAATTGTCGAATGATAAACAGAAAAATATTATTTGTATTTGTATGTTGCACAATTGGAGATTTGAAAAACAAAAAATTTTTTTTTTGATGAAATTGATAATCTCCAAATAAACATTGAGCAAAAAAAAAATTGTCAAAAAAAAAAAAATTAGATACGAAATATATATATTTTGAAAATATTTTTGAAATAGGTCACACCATCTATCCATGCGTAATTGAACAAAATCAATATTTTTTTTATTTCAAACAAAAAAAAAAGTTTTTTTTTTATTAAAAGGATTTTTTTTTTGTTTGTTGTGAATTTATACTTTTCATCTCATTGCTAAATATGATGGCCGTACATTTGAATCATCATAATATGAATCAGAAATTATAATTGGTTGTACGTTGGTTGAAATATTTGTATTCATTCGTTCATAATAATCCGAAATGGCTTGTTCTTCATTTGAAATTGGTAATTGTTGTTGTTGTTGTTGTTCATTATGTAAATCATTATATGGTGTATAACGATTATCATCGGAAAAATCAATCGATTCATATTGTTCATCATCAATTTGTTTACCAATCGCTGTTGAATAATATGCACCAGAATCAGAAAGTTCCATACCTGGTAACATAATACCACCAGTACCATTATGACCCATTTGTTGTCGTTGATCCGCAGGTTGTTGATTACGAATTTTCATAAAAAAATAAATCATACCACATGACATTAGAAATGTAAATATTAATGTTGATAATACAATCATCATTATTGTACTGGTTTTCAATGAATCTAATAGTATTTAACACAAAAAAACACAATGAATATCTCAATTCAATTCAATTTTGATTGATTATAATAAAATACCTTCTGATTTTACTGAACTTGTTGGTAAACAATTCGGTAAACTACCTGTCCATTCACCATCATCACATATACGTATTTCTTTACCGACAAAAATATTTGTTTCATCTTTACAACGAAAAAATGCTCGACTACCACGTACAGGTATCCAATCGGTTTCATTTCGAAAAAACACACGATCATATTTATATATTTCAATCAAATATGTATGTGTTTCATCATTTTCTAATGAAAATTTTTGACATTGTCTTGTAGGTAAACAGATTGGTAATTGACCATGCCAACGATTATCATAACCACATTGTATGGTAAGAAATTGACCACCATAATTATCAACACGTTGAAAATCTTTTGCACATGTAAATAGATAATTTATTTGATCATTAATAACACGTGCTTCTAATCCGACAGGTATTTCAGGTAGACCACAAATTGGATCAGTATAATTATCATTATTACTATATTGTTCAGCTAAAATAAATGTTGCTAAATCATATTTAATCGGTACCTGTGATGTTGTTTCAATTCGTATCTGATTAGACATTTGTTCAATTTCTTTATAAAAATCATCCAATGATTTTGCCCGACAAAAATACCAATAATCAAAACGTGTTGAATTATAATGCCAAGGTGAAACGGAATTATTCGAAACACGTTGACAATCACGATATTGATTAGTAACAACGGTAACAATTTCGAATACATTTGTACGCATTTTTGGATCAATCAAATGATTTACAATTGAAAAACTTATACGTATCATTTGAATTAATGCAGGTTTTTCTAAGATTATATTCCAATAATAATCTTTTGCACCTTTTGCACGAACTGGATTTGAATAACGTTCAGCAATAAATGAATTACCAAATTTATTGAATGGTTTAAGATTATTTGTCAAATTATATTCATTAAGTAATCGTTTTGGAAAACCATTTTCCGCTTCATAAATAAACACTTGTACAACATCATTTTGACGAAATGCATTACCACATAATGGCATTTCACCATACCATTTTCCTTTTAAACATTTTCTATATTGTTTTAATGATATAAATTCATCACATGTATATTGTACTTGTTCATCTTCAACATAGGTTAATTGTACTGGTGATATTTGTGATTTTGGTGGTCGTCCAGGATCTTTACAATATGCAATTACTTCAATTTTTTTACTTATTAATGATGATAATAATGGTGTTGATGTTTCATTTATGGTTGGAATTGTTGTTGTCGTAGTTGTAGTTAAAATTTCTGGTTTAGATAATTTCGGTAATTGAACAGAATCCTTGTTATTGCTAATGTTATGATTATCATTTTTGACATTTTTACCATGAAAAAATAGATCATTATTATCGGATAAATGTTTTGCTCTTGAAGTTGTCACCGTCGTTGCCTTCGTCGTTGTCGTAGTCGTTGTCAATGTATTTTTATTCGATAATTTTGAACGATCAACACCAAGGGTTATGGAAAAAATTTCACAAAAAAATATGGCTAATAAAATATTTGAATTAAAGAATCTTAGTTGAAAATATAACAACATTTTTGGTTTCACAATTTTAATCGATTTTAAGAGAAAACAAAAATCAATAATTTTCAATAAATGCCATCATCTTCAACAAATACAAACAACGGAAATATGAATGAATAAATGTCGTTGTATGGATTTAAATCGATATTTTTCCTAATTTAAATGAAATAATAATTTACAAAACGTTACATCCGTTGTTAATGACGTTGTTGGCGAATCCGGCTTTTTTTAATCCAAATCTGGCAATATATTAGGTTTACAAGGTTCTATTTCAATCAATCAATCAATCATCATTGTCGTTTACGTCTTGTCAAGGAATCCCAAAAATTACAGAATTTTTTATTCATTGAATTTCATTGATAAAATAATCGAAATTCATAATCGATTAAATCGATTACATCACTAACATCACGTGATAAGTATAGACAAACAGCTGATTTGTAGAAAAGCCGAAAAAACAAACTGCGCATAATCATTTCGATAATTCTCACTATTTTCACACAGATTTGTATGCTTCCAATCAACAACAAAAAAATGGTCTGCGTGTATACAGGAAAAAAAGATGGAAAAGGAAAAAAAGAAATCCCATTTGAACTTTACAAAATGCTTCTATCAATTTTGGGATTCTCTTGGATATACAGCTGAGTGTGTGGTGTTTGAGTTAAGAGTATCATCATGCTATAAGCATATTTGAAAGTTAACATTGTTGTGTTTTTTTTTCTCGGATATACAAAACATATTTCTATGCTACTAATTTCGTAACTTTTTTTGGTTGTATTAAGCAGAAAAAATTCCAACATTCCCTCCCAAACATGCCATGAACTGAATGAATAAAGTGAAGACGACGAAGACGACGACGACGACGACGACAAAAACAAAAAACAAAAATGAGCAAGCTTGGACCTATCGGTCAAACTTTATTCTGATGTGTCCAAATCGGCTATATTTTATGAACCTTCATTATCATCATCATCGGGTCCAACTTTTTATTTTTTTTTATTGTAAATTTTGCTCATATCTTTTGCATTTGATTTTGTTCGAAAAAAAAGGTTTTATCTCTCCATTTTACTTCAAAAAATTCACAGAATGGATTAACATCCAAAAGATTTGTTTTAAAGTTATCGTTGATGATGATGATAATAACAATGTTCCAGAATGACCCAATAGATCTCATATAGATTTTCATTCATTCATTTTCCTACATATCTGGCATCTTATTTATTTGTGTAATGTTTGTGTAAATTTTTTTGTTTTTGTTTTTATCATCTTTTATATTAAAAAATCTGCTTTTCATAATCAATGATGATGGTATGTATAGGGTTTATTTGATGGTGGGGTTTTTTTCCTGTCTGTTTGTTTGTTTGATCACCACACATTGAAAAGATTCGAACGTTTCGAAAACGTTCGAATGTTTGAAGAAGAAAAAAACATTCGAATGAAGCGAAACAAATGAAAAAAATATGTTTGAGAAACTGATTGACTGACTAACTGATTGATTTGTTGCATGATTATTATCTTAAATATCGATGATTATTCCATTTATATTTACAAGATTTTTCTGTTGTTGTTGTTGTTGAAAATGTTTATGATTTCAATTTTCTATATATATTTTTTTTCATTTTCAGATTCGTTTGAAAGCCGAATAAATGGAATGGTGTTTTTTTGCAATTGTCAACGATAATTTGTTTTGATTGATGTTGTTGCATTCAGAAAAAAATATATTCACATCAAATATACATACCGGAAGAATGATTCATTTGATTATTGTTTAAAATTGAAAAATTTTTCCTCTCTCTTTCTTGTGATATTGATTTCGATCTAAATTCTTGTATAAGTAATCAAGAAACCGAAAAAAAATGGGAGCACAAGGATCGAAAAATGAACATAACCATCCTAATAATCATCATCAACAACATCATCATCATCATCAATCACATAATCATCATCATCATCAAATATTTCAACAACATCCATTATCATTTCAACATCATCATCATCCTGGGCTTTTATTACAACAATCGCAGCAACAACAACAACAACAAATTAGTCCTAATCAATTACAATTTCATCAACAACAATTACAATTACAGCAATCAAATTTTATCGATCCACAACAACAATTGATTATATCGGGACAATTTGTCGCAGGTGTTTTACCATCATCATCATCATCAGTGAATAATAATGGTATTATTATTGGCAGTGGTGGTGGTGGAGGTATATCACCATCACATCATTCATCATCAACAGCAACAACATCATCATCAATACCATCATCATCTAGTCCATTTACAGTGACAACATCGACATCATTTACACCACAACAACAACAAAATCTATTAGGTCATCTTGATTCAATACAATCACAATTGGCTGCTGTACAACAACAACAACAACAACAACAGAATAATAATAACTGCCAACGATCTTCGGTTGCACAAAAATCAAATCATCATCAAAAATCACGGCAGCAGCAATTATTTGCATTTGATCCAACAAATGGTAAGCAATGAAAAATTTGAATTTTTTTCGAAAATGTCTTTTCTTATTGAATATTACCATAATTTCGCACATATAAACCCTATTTTATGTATATGGCGCATTAAAACAAGATTGACTATGACTATGATTCATAGTTGAGTTAGGTTAGGTTGATGACTATGACTATGCCCAATAGTTCAGTGAGGTTAGGTTGATGACTATGACTATGCCTAATAGTTCAGTGAGGTTAGGTTGATGACCATGACTAACACTTATAGTTGAGTTAGGTTAGGTTGATGACTATCATCATAAATCATAGTTCAGTTTGTTTGATAATTATTTCATGCACTGTGATTTAACTAAAAAATCATGTATATGCCGCGTAATAAAAAGCGTAAAATTAGGGTAATTAGTTTTTTAAAAAAATTTTCATTTTAATTGTTATCATTATGTTTTTCTCGGTATTTTATTTTCAAAATTCAAATGACAATTGTCTGCTATATTTTAGAAATGATGTTAATCAGGTAATAATAGAATGGTCATTATTGAAATGCCTATTTTTATGATGTGTAATAATAATAATGACCTGAAATCAACAACATTCATAATGAGGATGTCATTTATGAACTTGGGCGGCTATGAAAAAATCATATAACCGGAATGGATTTTACATTTCGTTTGTTGTTGTTTTTTTGATTGTTATCAAATGCATGTAGTAATATGAATTTTGCTCTACATAATTTTTAGATTTTTTTTAAAGCATTTTTTCTCTTTCTACATTTGATATTGGTTGTTTTGATTTTGATTTCGATCGGAAATTCATTTTTTTAAAAGTTTTCCTTTGATTTAAAAAAAGGGTTAAATTTTTTTTTTCATATACCTAAATCCTTCGAAAATGAATGTCCTCAAATGAGGATTACGAGGAAAAAAAATTCATTAAATATCATAAATAGAATGAATGAATGACTGTAGCCGAATATCTTTTTTTTCTATAAGAGTTGTCCTGCATTTTTGTAGACGGTTTTTCTTTTTTGATTGATTGCCGGGTTTTCATGATTATGATGGTCGATATGGACAGTAATCAAACGGGGAAAAAAGATTATTCCATGCATTTATAACATAATCATTGTGTGTATTTGGCAATTGTTTGAATTTGTTCATTTTTTTCCTTTATAAAATGATGGTCAATGTAAAATTTAAAATAGAATTCATTTTTTTTCTCTTTGCTATTATGAAAACTAAAATCTCTCTTTTGTTATTATACATAACCCAACAGAGCTTTATAGTCAACTTGCCATAAAGAGAACAAGATATAAAGATGTTGTTTAAGAAAAATTTTTGTTGAATGAATTTTGTATATTTTTCTTTTTTCCCTCTTTCCCCCTTTTTGTATCTTGATAATCAAATCTCCTGAACAAAATGAATACATTCTATATGGATTTATAAAAATTTGTGTCCCACTTTATTATAGATTACTTTGATTGATACACCTGTCTGTTGTTGGCATTTATGTTTCGGTTATATGTTCATCATCAACTCATCACTGTTGTTGATGTATCCATTTCCGAATATAGTGGGATACTTGTTTTTTTTATGATGATCCGGGTTGTTGTCATCATCAACAATTTGTATTTATGCAAACTAAATCAAATGATGGTAATCAAATTTTGAATCAAAATTCATTGGAATTTTTATCTGAAATTAGATTTTTATTTAAAATTTTATGTTTGTGACCGAGATTTTTTTTTGTTGGTTGTAGTGATAATCAATTTCCTTGTTTAAATTTATTTTTTAATATGAAAATTTCGTAATAGTCAACATTGTCATTGATATTTTTTTGTTTTCATTCATAATCATTCATCAATTTGTTAATCCATTGAGAATTGCCCTTTCATATTTTTTTTCCTGTTGGTGGTCGAATTTGTTGATTAAAATTGCCTACACACACAAACATACAGGGTTCGATGAACTTTGTTTGTCACGCAGTTTTTTTCTGGATCATTTTTATTTAACCATTTTTGGGTTTTTTGTTTTTTGTTTCAAAATAGACATTGTTTTTGATATATGTGTCATGTTACGGATGTTGAAAATATATTAGTTAACACCGAAATGAGAAAAAATAATTAACAGGTTAACAACTTTTGTTTATCGAAAATAAATAATCTGCCATTATCAAATGTTTCAAGTTCATTTTGTTAGATTTTTATGTAATAATTTTCTATATTTTTTTATCTAATTCGAATAGAACAATCATTTTTATCATCACGTCCATTACCTGAAGTGCCACAACAACAACATCATCATCAACATCAACAAAGTCTAGATTCAAATGCCAGCCAAGATAATAATAACGATTGTTGTTTATTTGAACAACGTTTTGGTCTTTCTATTTCGCAAGAAAATCTTCTTCAAATCGAACAACAACAACAACAATTGATTGGACCGCCACCACCACCACCAGATTCTCAACAGCATCTACCGAATGGACAAATGTTTGTTGCACTTTATGATTTTCAAAGTGGTGGTGAAAATCAACTATCGTTTCGTAAAGGTTTGTCATTATTAAATTTGATTAATTGATGATTTTTTAATGAATAATTTCTTATGAATGTTTTAGGTGATCAAATGAAAATTGTTTCCTGTAATCAAAGTGGCCAATGGTGTGAAGCGATCTCATTCAATAATCAAGTTGGTTGGATACCACAAGCCTATATAACACCTATATGTTTGGATCAGCATAAATGGTATCATGGAAATATATCCCGTTCGGATGCCGAACAATTATTGTCATGCGGCATTAATGGTTCGTTTTTGGTACGAGAATCAGAATCATCACCTGGCCAACGAACCATTTCATTGCGATATGATGGACGTGTTTATCATTATCATATTAAACAAGATCAAGATCTTCGTTATTATGTTAGGCCTGAATGTAAATTTATTACGATTGCCGAACTTGTTCATCATCATTCAAATCAACAAGATGGATTGATCACAATGTTATTATATCCGGCAACTAAACAATCATCGGGCTATTGGTCAGCAATAAATGAAAATGCTGATGAATGGGAAATCAATAGAACCGATATAATTATGAAACAGAAACTTGGTGGCGGACAATATGGTGATGTTTATGAAGCACGATGGCGAAAATATAATATGACAGTAGCAGTGAAAACATTGAAAGAAGATACAATGGCTGTAAAAGATTTTCTTGAGGAAGCATCAATTATGAAAGAGATGCGACATCCAAATCTAGTTCAATTAATTGGTGTTTGTACATTAGAGCCACCATTTTACATTATTACGGAATTTATGCCATATGGAAATCTACTTGATTATCTTCGTAATAATGATCGTGAACAAATGTCGGCAGTTATTTTGTTATATTTTGCCACACAAATAGCCAATGGAATGTCTTATTTAGAATCTAGAAATTTTATTCATCGTGATCTAGCTGCTCGAAATTGTTTGGTTGGTGAAGATTATCAAGTAAAAGTAGCCGATTTCGGATTAGCTCGATTAATGGGTGATGATACATATACGGCTCGTGCTGGTGCCAAATTTCCAATTAAATGGACGGCACCCGAAGGATTGGCTTATAATAAATTTACGACCAAAAGTGATGTATGGGCATTTGGCGTTCTCCTTTGGGAAATTGCCACCTATGGTATGGCACCATATCCTGGAATCGAATTAAGTGATGTTTATCATAAACTTGAAAATGGATATCGAATGCAATGCCCAGATGGCTGTCCACAGCCAATTTATGATCTCATGAAAAAATGTTGGAATTGGGAACCGACACACCGACCTACGTTTGAATATTTATATCGGACATTATTTGCAATGTATCAAACATGTGCCAGTGGATATTCATTGGAGGAATTCATTTCATCCGATCAATTTACTGATCCTCAACAACTTCAATCAAACAATGATGGTAGCTCTACAAGCGGTTTTTCCTCTAATTGTGGCACAGGAACTTCTAATTTAGTCACTATAGTTACAAATCCTGAACAAACTTCACCAAGTCAAAATCAAGTTCCATATAAAAAACTTTCGGGAAGCTCACCAAATATTGCTGGTCATTTATCTATAGCTTCTACTGGCAATAATATTGTTGATGATAATTCATCATCATCTCGTGATCCAATATGGCCTTCAAGCTTTTGCCCAACAAACAATCCATCGGCTAAAACAACAGCCAAAGTAAATCTGAGGCAACGTAATAACCATAGCGAACAACAACAGCAACCACGAATGCATCCAAATTTGCTCAAAGTAAAACAAGCGCCAACACCACCGAAAAGAACTAGTTCATTTCGTGATTCAACATATCAGGATAAACAACCAGGTAAACAAACAATGAAACTTGATTTCATTATTAATTGTTAATTATATATTTGATATTTACAGGTGATGAGGATATACTTAAAGGTGCTGAACAAACGATGAATGATATTGAAAAAGTTTTTGAAAGTCTTAGCTCAATTGAAAAAAATATGGCCGATTTTGCTGCACAACAATCGGTTGCGCTTGATGATAACAATTCTGCCTATATGTACAATTCGGACACAGATCAGCAACGTAATTATAATTCAAATACAATATCATCAACATCATCTACTCGATCTAGTACGACGAATAATAATGTTCAATTGACAACAACGAATAAAAATATTCAACAACAAGCAATGATGATAGCAAACACGAAAACAAAATCATCTCGAACAAAATCTAGTGTCAAACATAATAAAAATAATAAATTAAATTTCGATCGTCATCCTGTCATTGATTCATATGAACAAGAACAACAACAACAACAAATGATTAATTTGAAATCTAGTAAAAAATCCGATATTGATATGAAACGTGCCATTAATCGTTATGGAACAATACCGAAAGGTACCCAGATTAATGCCTTTTTGGATTCATTACGGCCACAAAACGAGATGTTGGATACCAATTTTCAGAGCAATAATAATAATTCGGATAATTTTCTCATCAACAGTCCAACATCATCGTCTACAGTTGATTGTCTAAACTTGGATATTCATCATTTGCATGATTCTTCTGATAATATTCTTACATTACAACATGCAGCACCGATTAAATCACCGCAACAAAATTATCCGAAAATTACTACATTTTCCAAAGATACCAATAACGTATCGATATTGGAAGATATTTCGAATAGCAATCAAATGTCGGCCAAACCTAATCAGCATTTCAATTTTACTAGACAAAAATCTGATCTAACACACTCGAAAACAATCGAAAATGTTAATTTCAACTTTAAAAACTCTAAAGCTAGACAATTACGAAACGGCAACAAAAATCATCTGCAATTATTAAAATCAGTTGCATCGCCTAGATTGCCATTAAAATCGTCCAATTTTGATCAGATTGACAGTGCTAATGTTGACGATCAAATATTACCATCTTTTCATCAGATTACACCACCACCTCCAATCGGCGATATTGAATTGAAATCGCCTACTAATCCTACTCCGAAAATTTTGAGTAAAAGTGAATCCTTTGATTTTGTTTCATTTAAACCATCTTCTTCAAACATAGAACCATTAAATAATTTAATGACTTTGGATGAAATTATTAATCCTGAAGATTTTCCACCTCCACCAACAACATCTGATCTTAATAGTGTTGACTTTAATAGCGATAACACTTTTGAGCAAAATACAAAAGTAACCAAGAAATCATCGAAAGATAAATCAACAATTAAACATCAAGATTTACCCAAAGAAAATGATGAAGTTCGTTTAGCAACTAAAGCAACATCCAAACGATCGACTGATACAAATTCCGTTTCAAAAATTCCTATTCAAAATTCCGCATTTATAAATGAACTGAACGAAAGTTTCCGTTTGAAAACACAAAAATCCAACAATATCAATAATAATAAGGACCAAGCAACTACTGCCAAAGTAGCCAATACGACCAAAACTGCATCATTCCTGTTCAAACGAAGTTCAAAACCGGAACCAAGTTGTCCGGCACCGGCCATTCCAATATTTTCAAATCTTTCACAATCAAAATTTTATACTAAAAATTCGACCAATAACAATGATACGGCTATGGATAATAATAGTAATGCAGCTGCAGCCGTCGATGCTGAATATGTTACACCCGTTTTGAAAAAAGTTCCATTAAAACCATTTCAATCGATACGACAACAACAGGAATCAACAGCTAATGATGATAATCATCAACAAACTACAGCATCATCATCATCATCTACTAAGCCAGCAAAAACATCAAAAGCTTCAAAATTGGCTTCATTTTTCAATAGCGGTTCAAATGCAAAAAATCAAAAACATTTAAAACCATCCGACGAACAAAAAATGAAATGTGAAAAAACTACAAATGATACTGTAGATATGATGGATCCATCATCAATAATGAGTAAATCAATCATTTCACAATCCGGATATGATGCCGATGATGATGATGAAATAACCAAACGTAATAGTGGTGTTTCAAATTATAAAAAATTTTGGGAACTTCATTCATCCATTACAGCTAATAATAATAATAATACAGGCGGAGAAACATCAGATTCAGGCATTGGTTCAATTTCTAAAAGTAATGATTCAGTAATCTCGACAAGTTCTATAAATTCATCTACAGTGGCTGCATCGATTCAATCAAATAAAAATATATCATCCAATTCAGCTATGTCTAGTCCTAAATTGAAAACACGTGGCAATTCTAAAGTGACAAGTAATAAAATGACTATTTCCTCTGATATGAGTGAACAACAACAACAAACGAAAAGTTCACCGACAGCTACAAAATCTCAGTGAGTAATATCAATTTAATTTTAAATTTATTGAAATTTATTTGTTTTTTTTTTCATCAAACAGAATTCCAACACGAAAATCTTTGCTGAAAAGCTCTAATGACTCATCATCATCCAATCTTAACAACAACAAATTGACCAACAATTTTAATGTTGTATTAAAGCCTGTATCGGATTCGACCAATTCAACTAAATCGAAAAAAACTATCACATCAGAATCGATTGGTAATAATATTGATGATTCTACAATTGGTTCGGATCGAGAATCGATAATTGATTGTTCAAAACAGATTGAATCGATGCTTGACGAACAGATAAAACAGAATACTTCACAAACGGAGAGAAAAAATTTAAATGTCGATACAAAGAATAATGCTGACACGGCATCATTATCCAATATAAGTCCATCAAGAATGTCGAACAATTTGAAACGTGTATGTGATAAAGTTCTTGTATTTCGTAAATCATGTTTATCATATGCTGAACATTCATTATTACCACAACAACGATTTCGTTTTCGTGAATTATTGACCAAATTGGAAAAAAGTAATGAATCATTACGTGCTATTGGTATCAATGAAAACTCTATGGAACAATTGAATGAATTGCGATCGAATCTGCGAGATATTGTCGTTTTTGTTCAAAAATAATCGATTGATTCCAAATTAAAGCAATGACAATGACAAGTGCCATAATGTGATTCTAAAAATGAAGAAATCTCTCAATTCTCAACTGTCATCTTGTCATTTTTCTTTCCTAATCTGTTCTATGAATCACTTTTCTTTTTCTTGATATATGAATTATTGATTGATTATATACTCAAAACAAACACACAGATCAAATGATATATGATCCAAATGACAAACCTGTGTTTTGTCACACTTGAACTTCTAGTCTATTTTATATAAAATTTTAGTAAATTTACTGATCATTCATATACTTGATCTGTTTTTTTTGCTTTTGTTTTTCAATTCGACTTTATTAATTAATTATTTTATTTGAATGCTTTTTTTTCGGTAACAATATTTTTCTAATTCATAATGATAATTCCGAATGACAATAATAACTGTCTTTTCTTTCAATTTTATTTTGAATTCAACTTTAATTATTTGAAATAAAAATAAATTTTTCAAAAATTTTTATTATTGAATTTTATAATTGTCCATTGGATGATTGTCAATTGGTATTTATTGTTGAAACAATCATTCTTATATATTATTTTCAAGTATAAATTTTTCCAATGTTTGTTTAAATTTGATCGGCTCAATTTGATGTAGATTGTGACCACAATTTGGAAATCGAATCAAGCGACTATTCGGTACATTAGCCACAATATGTTCTGCGTGTTTTAATTCGATAAAAAAATCACGATCACCATGTAATACTAATGTTGGACATTCAATTTTACGTAGACCATCTTGTACTGGTCCTAAAAGACCTTGTGGATAATAGCGGCCATAATTTTCGATGGCTAAATCCAAATGTCTTTGCCAAAGATCTTCAACACGATCAATATCATCACCATATGCTTGTTCATATTTACGTAATAATTCAATATCCCAATTTTGTAGATCACGTGACCACATAATATGTTTTGATGCTGAATCGGTATGGAATGTCATTAATCCTTGTACAATTAAAGATTTTATACGTGTTCCACCGAATTTTCTTGCCATTACAATGGCAACTTTAGATCCTTCGGACCAACCATAAACGGAATATTCGTTGTATCCAAGTTTCTATAGCGAATCATTTCCAAATATATAAAAATATAAGCGGAATAAAAACAATTTACCAACCTCCATCAATTCATTACAACGATCAGCATCATCATGAATAACGTTTGGTCCGATTGGTCGTTCCGGTGGTATCGAACGACCCCAGCCAGGTAAATCAACACAGATAAATGTAAAACGTTCAAAATCTAAACAACCAGAATGTTTTGGATTGAATTGTATGTCGAAATCACTTTGTGCCGTTCCAATAGCGCCAGGAATAACTAAAACAATATTATTACCATGACCGAATTTTTCATAATAAATATTAAATTCATTAATCTTTATAAAACCCATCATGTATGGATCGATGTAATGTTTGAAGAAAAATGAAAGAAATATTTATGATTTATTTTTTTCAAAAAAAAAATTTCATTAAAAAATCATTATCATTGCCACCTAGATAACGAAATTGTTGTTGTTGTTGTTATTATTATTGTTGTTGTTTTTTCGAATCATAATTATTCGTTATTCGTCATCAAAAAAGGTTATTTTATTTTTTAATTTTATTTACTATCAAAACTACTCGGTCATATCATTACCTTTTATCAAGTCAAACAAGTTTTTTTCCTTCTATCTCTCTTCAATCAAATTGGACATACATATCTTGACATGTTGTCAGTTTGAAAGTGCAAAAAAGAGTGAAAGAGAGAAAAAAAGAGAGTGCAATTTTCTTTCAGGTTTTCAAATCATTTATTTCATCATATTTTCCAACAATGTTAAATTGACATACTTAAATTCATTATCGGTTAATTGGCTATATCATAATTAGCGATAATAATAATATCGTTCTAATCAATAAAGACAATTTTTACTGCACCAAAAATTTTCCAATAAAAATTTTTCAACTATATTTTTAAATTTGTTAGGTTGTTCATCGTTTAAATGATGACCACATTTTGAAAATATTATCAATCGATTATTTGATAAATTATTTGTCAAATAATTTATCTGTTCAATATCAATAAATTTATCTTGATCACCATATAGAATTAATGATGGACATTGAATTTGATTATCCATTATCAATAAACCATCAGGATAATATTCATTGAATTTATTAACAGCTAAATCAATATATTTGTTCCAATCATAGGCCATACGATCTAAATCATTATTGTAAACATGTTTTAATTGTCGAAACATTATACCACCATCATTCCAACAATCTGGATCACGAAATTTTCTATAATTTTGTATTAATTTATCATCCGAATATGTTGCCGTTGCATGTAATATCATTGATTTGATTCGGGAACCAATTTTTTTTGCCATAATAATAGCAATTTGTCCACCCAAACCAAAACCATAGATTGAATATTCATTATATCCAAGTTTCTGAGACCAAATAAAAAAACCAGATAAGTTGAACTTGAATTATATTTAATTAGATATACAAACATTCATTAATTTATCACATCGGATAGCATCATCATCGAGAATTGTTGGACCATAAGGACGTTCTTGATTATTGGATCTTCCCCATCCAGGTAGATCAATACAAATGAATGTAAAACAATCCAAATCTAAACAGCCATCATTATCGGGATCAAATTGTTGTTGAAATTGACTTTGAACAGTGCCCAATGCTTCAGGTATGAATAATACAATATCCGTACCATGACCAATTTTTTCATATGCTATATCGAATTCATCAATTCGCATCATCATCGTTATTACTTGGCTGCAATGAATTTCTATTTGAAATGAGATGTGATGTTATATTCTTCCTTTTTATAGAAAAATAAGAAAATAAATTTGCACTTACACACTTCAAACACACACACACACATGCACATGATGTAAATTCGATCATAATCAAGAATTTTAATCAATAATAATCTTTATTAAATGTTTATTCATTATTATGGTTAAAAATTATAACATAATTTTTTGGTACGTTTTTTACACACGTATCGTTTTATTTTACTAACAACATTTTAATTTTTATTTAAAAGAAAATTTTCCATATTTTCTTTGAATTTTATCGCACCACGTCTTTGTAGAAAATGACCACAACCTTCAAATACAATTAATTTTCCATTACGAAATTCTTTGGTAAAATTTTCACATTGTTCAACAGTGAAGAAAAAATCTCTTTCACCAATGAAAATCATTGTTGGACAAACAATTTGATTTTGACCATTTTCATTTTTTGGACCAAGTAAACCATCTGTATAGATATCATTATATTTTTCAATCATAAAATCAACATATGTTTGCCATAATTTTTCAGCACGATCAGCATTATTATTGTAAATAATTTTATATTGTCGTCGTAATCGTGCATCCCAATTAGCAAAATCACGCATTATTTTCAATTTTTCTGTCATTTTATCATCATGATAAATATATGGTGCCTGTAGAATAAGATTCTTTACATTGTTAACGAATTTTTGTGCCATTATTACAGCTATTTTAGTACCTTCACACCAGCCAAAAATTGAATATTCATTGTAACCAAGTTTCTGTTTTTTTTGAATAAAATTAATGTAATAATACTTATGTCAAAAATAATATTACTTACCCGCATTAATCGATCACAACGATCAGCATCATCATGTAATAATGTTGGTCCATATGGACGTTCAGGTGGACATGATCGTCCCCAGCCAATTAATTCAACACAAATAAATGTAAAACGATTAAAATCAAAACAACCTGGATGATCAGGATCGAATTGAAAATCAAAATCACAGCTTGCTCTACCGATTGCACCCGGTATGATCAGTACAGCCACTTGACCATGACCATATTTTTCATAACAAATTTGAAATCCATCAATTTCAATAAAACTCATTATTCTATCGATTTTCGTTCAAACGTTTTTGATCATTGATATCAGGTAAAAATGCAATGACAAATTTGTTTTTTATAGCCAAAACAACAATGACATTGTCGATTTTCATTAATATTAAACATTTTAACGATAACGTTTTTTTACTAGATAAGATTACACGAAAATTATTTCGATTCCAAAAGAATCGATTATGGAAAATAGAGAGAAAAAATGAACCTGTTTAATATTTCACAATTTTATTCATGATAGTTTTTTTCTGGTTAATAGATCAAGATATATAGATGATAATCTCAAAAAAAGTTGATTATTAATTTTTTCTTTCCGACTGTGTGTTATCATCTCAAAAAAAGAAGAAGAAAAAAACAGCATATTTAAAATTCTATATTTCAAAACTTCTTAATAATGATTTTTATCAATGAATTGACGTCAACAACAACAACGTTGTAATTGAATTAGAAAAAACTTTTTATTATTAACAAACAATCTATTTTGTTTCTATATAAACAATTACTGATTTATTTCGATTCAAATTCTAGTTTTTCTGTGATTAAGATTTAATTTAATTTCTGTTGAAATGTAGAAATCTATTTTATTTTTAAAATAAAATTATCATCATTAAACTGCTGTTGTCATTGTTTGGCGCGTCAACAGATTAGGTTCAAATTAAAAAAATCAAATGATGTAATGGTATTCGTCATGATTTTTCATCATCAGCATATGGCTTTAATGGATTAATTAATTTAGTTTAATCTTCGAACCATGAATTCCAAAATCAGCCGATAATGAAATTGAATGAATTTTTTCTTGTTTTCCTGGATTATTGAATAGGATTTTTGTTTTCATGATTCGGGATTTTACATTGACATTTGATATTTTTGTTCCAGTGCAATATCTATTGATTCATTCTGATTTTGTGATCGATAGATCCATAATCTAATTTTGGAAAAAATTAAATTAGAATTCATATTAGTTGTTTTTCCATATAAATAACTATTGATTTCTTTTTCTTCTAGTTTTATTGGTTGTTAAAAGTTTCGAAAGTTAATTTGATTTTTCTTCTTCAAACAGAAAACAGAAAAAAAATTACTAAAGACAACGATGAAAGCAAAAACCATTTTCATTCTATATTTAATCGTTATTCAGATAGTCATTCAAATGGTTTCAATGGTTTCAGTTAAAAAAGATTTAAGAAAAGTAAGAACGCTTATGAATTTCAAACGATCAAATCATGGTTGTTCAAGTAAAATTGATGTACGAAAATATGCTGAATTGGATAATGTTTGTTATGAATGTTTTCAACGATATCGTGCAGATTTACTTGACGATTGTAGAGATGATTGTTATGATAATCCAATATTCTGGATGTGTGTCGATGCAATGTCATTGTCAAATAAAAGACAATATTTTAAAGAACTTATTCAACAGTTAACTGCTAAACACTAACCCCCTATATAATATGAATTTTAAGATTTCTGTTGAATTTTTAAAATAAAATTATCACCATTAAACTGTTGTTGTTGTTATTGTTTGGCGATTGGGTTCAAATTAAAAAAATCAAATGATGTAATGGAATTCGTCATGATTTTCGTCATCATATGATTATAATGGATTAATTAATTTAATTTAATCTCTAAAATAATGATTTGGAATTTCAAAATGGCCAATAAATGAAATTGAAAATATATTTTGTTTGCCCTGGATTATTGGATTGGATTTTTTTTCGGTGGATTCATGAATATCCGGTACCGAATTGACATTTGATAATTTTTGTTTCTTCGTTCTTTCTCAGTGCAATATTAGTCAATTCGCTGAACACATCCAAAACATTTAAAAACTGGTAACGAAAAAATTTTATTTGTCATTTTATTTTTGATTCTAGTAAAGTTTGAATCACAACAAGAACTGTTGTTTGGTTAAGAATTTTGTTTTTTGCTTTGTTTTCAAGAAAAATAATAATTACAACAACAACAACGATGAAAACCACAACTATAATCATCTATTTAATTGTTTGTTTTGCCATTACAATGGCATCAATTATTCGAACGAATGAAGATTCAAATAACATCGACAACAACTACAAAAAATATAATAATAATAATAACATAATGAATCGATCAAAAAGATCAAGTTTTTCTACAATCGATTGTTTGGGTAATTTTGATCGTGCCAAATTTGCTAAAGCAGATCGTATTTGTGAAGAATGTTATATCCTGTATCGTGAACCATCATTACATAAAACATGTAGAGAATTTTGTTTCAGTAATGATGTTTTCAAGAATTGTATCGATTCATTAAGTTTATCACATATGAAAAAAGAATATGAAGAAATTGTGGCTGAATTGTTGGGCTAAATATTCAACTTTATTTTGAAAATTTCCTTATCATTGGATGCCTCAAGTTGAAAAAAAATTTGAGCGAAAAAAAATTGAAATTTTTTTTGAAAAAAAAACTATATTTGAAAAATTAAAATCAAATTTTTAATTTCTGTTGATAAATTTTAAACATTGAAAAAAAATCATTTATTTATATTTGAATAACAAAAATATTTTTTATTCAAACCAAATTTTATTCATTTTGTTTGTTTTTTTTCAATAAAAATCCATAACTTCATTATCATTATCATCGTTGAATTGATCATCCATTGATTCATCCTGTGATCCATCATCCAAATCATTTTTATTTTTTCCTTTTTTTCTACCAGATTTTGTTGTTGTTACATTACGACAATCACTATCACGTGCATATGGTAGGGTGAAATCTTTTTTATTATAAGCACGTGTTAATGCTGCTTTCATTTTTGAATCAATCGTTTTCATTGGATCTTGTTCACCTGACCAAACACAAAATTCCAATATCGAATTCATATCTTCTTTTGTTAATGAATAATTTTCCAATAAATCGATTACATTCGTAATAGCCGATTCTTTATCCAAATTTTTCAATGAATTAATAATTGTATTTTTGATTGGTTCTAAATAATCCATAATAATCGATTGTTTTGATCCATTCACTGATAATTTTAAATGTGATGATAATTCTTCAATGATACGATTATTTTTATTTGTTGTTGATAATTTGCCCATAAATTGTGGAAATTGTGGACAACCAAGACCATTTTCGCTACGCATATATGATCCAGGCATTACTGTTGAAAATATTGCCTGCAATGGTAATAAAGACCATGATTGATTTGAACGTATTTCTTTTTCAATCAAATCCGATTGGGATATTGAATCAATTGATTTATATAATCGTTTTAATTGTTTACCAACACTAGGCCTATATAAGTGAAAAAATAAACAATTTTTTTTTAAGAAAGATAAGATTATTTAATGACGAAATAGGAAATAAATATACGAAAAATATCCACTTACTGTTTACTAGACAAATTGATTGAAATATAATTCTCATAAACAAATAATGGCATTATTGAATAATCACAGAAAAATAGATTTGATTTGTCATCCAAAGACATCAAAGCATAATCTCGGCCAGTACAAAATACTTTTCGTATAGCTTCAAATGGTGTCTATTTTGAACAGTGGGAAATTTAACAAAAACAAATATCAAAAAAAAATGATAAGCTAAAAATGGTATAAAAATATAAATACAAACCAATCGAACATCCTTTATCGGTTTTTCTTGATTATTATTGATCAATTTTGAAACTTTTGATGATGATGATGATTGTTGTATGGAAAGTAAATAAAGATTATGAATACATTGACGGATATCAAAGTTGGATGAAACAATTAAATCATCCAATACATCTGGAGCAATTTTCATTTTTTCTTTAAATACAATCGACATTAATGTTGCTTTAATTTGTTCTAATTTTGGTTTATGAAATCGTAAATCAAAACAATGATTAACTAATGAACGCATTTTCTGATCACCACGATCATTACAGATACAAATAATCGGTATCATTGTCGATTTGATTAACTGTATTAATTCGGCAATACCACCACGATCTGCATTGCCCGAAACACCATCTACTTCATCCATTATTAGACAATGTTTTGAGGTAAGTTTTTGTTCATTATCAATAGATCTATCATCATGATCATTGGTATTAGTTGTTGATTTGAAAAAATCGGTCAATTTTGTATTCTTCAATAAATCACGAACATTTTCATGCAATGATTTTTTATTTCGTTGATCCGATGCATTCAATTCCAGATAATCATAGCCCAATTCTTTACATACTAATTGTGCTGTAGTTGTTTTACCAATACCCGGTGGACCACTAAGTAATGCAGCACGAAATCCTGCACCATCATCTGGTCCCCATTTACCGAATCCTGGTTTTTTATCAATATTTGAATGCCAATTACGTAGCCATTTTATCAATTTATTCAATGAACTACGATCACCTTGTTGACCGATTACTTGTTTTACACTAGTTGGTTTATATTTATCTACCCATAATTCAGAGACTCGTTGTGTTTCGACTATTCTTGGTAAACTTGTTAATTTGGATTTTTTGGGTGATTTTTCCTGTTTCAACAATTTATTTTTCGATGGTGATTCTTTGACTTTGATAACTTTTTCATTGTTATTAAGCTGATTATCCGATTTACGTGGTGATTCCTTATTTGATGATTTTGTAATGATTGCCGTCATATTATCACCTGTTTTGTCGGCTAACTTTTCTTTAGTTTTTTCAACATCTTTAATCTGGGATTTTTTATCAAGAGAATCATCAATTTTTTGCTTCATTTTTTTCTCGATCGATTCATTCGGATGAGAATTCTTATCATTTGATTTTTTTATATGATCAGAGTTTTCATGTTTATTGATTTTTGTCGTTGTTGAACTGGATTTATATGGTTTAACTGTGGTATATGTATAACCATCATCATCGGTGATTTTTGTTTCAACTTTTTTCGTTTCGTTTGATTGTTTTTTCGTTTCTTGTTTAGTATCATTCGAATCAATATTTTTAGGTTTAAAATAATTAAGAATTTTATTCTTTTGATCAGGTGGTGAAATTTTCGGTGATTTTGATTTTGAGGCAGAAGATTTGCCAACATCTAGATCAGCTTTACCGGCAGCTAAATTTCGTGCTCTGATTTTAGCATCTTTTTTAATATCATTAATTGAATCACTAATATTTGTATCGATTACATTATTATCTTCATCACTGCTTGATTCCAAAACGATACGTTTCAATTTTTTCTTACCAAGTTCAGGTGCAGATTTTTTTCTGCTTTTTGATTCATGTTTTCGAGAATTTCGATTGAAATCATCATCGTCTTCATCACTGACATCAACAATAGGATGTTTACGTTTCTTAATCGAATTCATTGTTTCTATTAGAATAGTTTTTTTTATTGAAAATCAGAAAAAAATGAAACTTTAGTTTTTAAAAGAAAACTTTACCAAATATTCATGTTTACATGTAAACAACATGAAAATAGCGGGATTGAAAACGCGCGCGCGCGTCGTATTTCATTTTCCACACAACATGCTCGAATTGAGTGTAAATAGCTCTGTTCATACATTCATTTAATTTCATCATTTTAATTCTTTCTTTTTCCTTTTTGATCTTCATTAAAAAAATTCTGGATAACATCTGAGTCGGTCATAAGAAAAATGATGTGATCAATACGATTTTCAAACGCCGGACAATATCTCAATTGTTTACTCAACTTTGTATGTTGGTGTTCCAGATTTTCTTCAAATTCAGAATTTAGAATCTGTTCACGAATTGATGTTGTATTCGATTCGATATAATCAACAACAAAAAAAACTCGATCGATTTTCCATTGAATGTTGAATCATACAATCCATCATGATTTTTGTTGTTTATCAAAAAATTTCAAACTAATCAAAACAATTCATTTGAATAATGAAAAAAAAATTTCACTGGAAAAAAAACAAATTGAAACTGGAAAATCATCTGTCCATTTCCGGGTATTCTCGTTTCTTTTTTTTATGTCAACCAAAATGAAATCATCGGAAATTGACAACAACAACAACAACAAAATAAAACATCTTAAATACACGCGTAGGTAGAGTATACAATTCGAATGTTTTATATACCGAGATTCGAATGTTTTTTTTTTTTTTTTTTTTGAAAAAAAATTATGCCCCTTTTTTAACCTTTTAACCA